AGTCAGTAGGTGAGGCGGGCCGGGGGAGGCCGACCAACGTCAGGGCCCTGGCCAAGGGCAGGTGCAGGCAGAACAGGCCACCACTCAGACGTGGAGCAGCGCAGGCCAGCTCTGCCGGATCGAGGTTCTCAAGAGAAGCTGGAAATATAAATCTCCCAAATGTAAAGTCTCAAAATGCACAGTTAAAACATCTTATAGACATACCCGCACACACACCCGCAATATGCAGGCTGAAATCAGCTGTTCGGACGGCAGTTTGTGACCTACAGTTTGTGTCTATAAAGTACTCAACACAGGGGCTGAGGAACTAGTACTATCTACGTTTTTTTTTTTAAACTAAAAACCCAATATCCTCAGACTTTAAAATAATCATTCCTCAGACTTAGAAAGCTTTAAGTCAGGTAACCTGTACCCGCTGCTGTGGATTCCGACTCATAGCGAAAAAAAATTTTCTCATAGAGAAAAATTGCCCCATAGGGTTTCCAAGGAGTGGATTCGAACTGCCAAACTTTGGGTTAGCAGCCAAGCTCTTAACCACTGCGCCACCAGGGCTTACCTCGGATTCAACAAACGTGGCTCAACAGATTTTCTTTGATACTACAAAGCACTGTACTCCAATTAAGAAGGGAAGTTTAAATCATAGCAATTAAGTTCAAACAGAAAGGCCGAGCCTAATGGCTGACTTCTACAAGGACCACATTAGTCTCACATTGTCTCAGCCCGCTAACTATCAGACTCACCATAGAAAGGAACCCCAAAACTTCAGTCATTAGGACTACAAAAGACAGGAGCCCCACATATTAACACTACCTGCCAGGCCCAAATTAAATGTTTTATAAAATCTCAGGTCTTCAAATGTCCTGGTCACTTCTGTCCCTCCCCGCCTCACAGGGACAGGGCTTACCACCCTCTGGCACACGGAGGAGGGTAGGAAGCTAGAGAAGTGAGCACCTGTCCAAAGCCCACAGCCAGTGAACAGCAGAGCCAGGATCTCAACTGCCATTTCTCTGAGGGCACATTCCACGTTGTTCTCCCTCCAGCACACTACATTCCAGTGTCAAAATAAGGGCAAAACCCTCAAGGGAGGGCGTCGACCCTGGGTGTGAGCCAGGGTTGGGAATCTAATCTACCCTGTTCTCCCAGAATACCAGACCAGACCTGCACCAGCCACCCTGGGGAATGGGTGTCACAGGACCAGCCAGGACACAGAAGGGCCTCACAGCTCCACCTCAGGCCACGGCTGAGCAGCGTAGGAGCCCCCAGCAGAGGCGTTGCTTCTTCCCCCTGAGCACTGGTGGCACAGCCTGGTCAGCAGCAGAGAGCACTCAGCACTCGGATCAAGGAAAAGGGTGTCAGATGCTTTAAGGTGTTTTCACGCTTTGAGGCTGTGTCTCCAACCCCTCAGAGCAAGACAGCAGGCAGCAAGGGGAGGCCCTTCAGACACGGCCCTCCAAGTGACTGCCTCAGGCTAGCCAGGGGCTACAAAAACGAACCCAGGTTTTCAGGCACAACTTCAGCTTTAACAATTATCGAGTAAAGGCACCTCCCAAAGGAGGCTTGTGGGATGACAGTTCAGCCCTCGGCTGCTAACCGGGAGACTGGCGGTTCGAACCCACCCAGTGGCTCTATGGAAGAAAGACCTGGAGATCATCTGCTCCCCATAAAGATTACAACCTAGGACACCCTACAGGCAGTTCTACTATGTCACACAGAGTCACCATGAGTGGAAAGGGCTTGATGACACCTGACAACGACAATGGGACTTCCCGCTACGCACAGTCTCAGACGGCTGGCTGCCTTTGCTGCAGCCATTGCCCCGTCCTCCTCGTCAACACACACAGGCTTTGTTCTGGAATCCACACCGCGAGGAGACTGAGAGAGAAAGCCCTCTTCAGTGCACGGCCACCACAGAAACCCTATGTTCTTCCCAGTGACCGGGTTACGCGCGCGCACGGGACACAGCTCTTGACTGTGAAACATGAGGAGCCAGTCTGCAGGGAAGGTGCCCAGGGAACTCTAAAAAACACAAAACACTTAGGGAAATATGAACACTGACTCTAACTGATGATACTGGATTATTCATGACAGGGGGACAGAAGGTGATAATGGTACTAGGATTATATTATCGAGGAAAAAAGCTCTTAGCTTTTAGAGTACTTAGGAATTAAATGACATGATGTCTGGAATTTGCTTCAAAACAATCTAAACTTTGCTTCAAAATAATGGGGATGAGGGAAGGAAAACAGATGGAACTTCACCTTAATAACAGTCGATGGAGCTGGATAAGCAACAGCACGGGACAGAGGACAAGGACACAGAAAGGACAGCCCTTTCTCGACCAGACGCCTGTGCTGTGACCTTCAGGAGAGCTGAGAGGACAGAGCCCAGGTGCACAGACGGCGGAGCAGGAAGACATCACTGAGCCACAAAGCCGCGAGCCCCCAGCTTCAGGACCTCTGGGGGATAATACGTTCTCCCCATTATTTTCACAATTTCGAATTGGGTTTTCAGTTACCTGTAGCCTCAAGCATCCTAAACCCTGCCTTACCCTCAGTACATCTAAGGCCCACTCTGAGAAGCTTCTGAGGGGCCTCCCCTGCTGAGTCACTCTGTACTCAAAGCAGTATTAAAATAAATTCTCACTCCCTAAGACGTGGCAGCCTGCTTCCAGAAAGATCACAGCCTTGGAAACCCTATTAGGCTGTTCCACTCTGCGCTATAGGGCCGTGGTGAGTCGGAATCGACTTGACAGCAACGGGTTTGCTTTTGGTTTTTTAAGACAGGAGTGACTTGCAGATGTCATTGTAAATGCCCAGTCCAATCGCTGTTAGCAGTCACCGGGAAAGGACGCCCAGGCGCGTCTGTTACGGAAGAGCTGGCTGCTGACTACAGCGTGAGCACAGGAGTGCCCGGGCAGCACTGACCCAACACAGCGTCCGCTCGGGTCTAAGACGTAAACAGTGAGGAGGGGAAACTCATTAAAGCCCCCATGAGGCCTCTACTCAATACGAAACACTGGCAGGCGGTCCTGGGACTGTAAAGAGGACCAAGTTGGTCCTGACCCTAAAGACTAGCAGGAAAGACTGAGGAAAGAAACCCAAGCTTATAATAAAGCACACGTGACGTACACACGCACCGAGGAGGAGGTGAAATTAACGCGGTTACTATCAGGGAAGCCGGGTGGTAAGGGTTCCTGGGAGATGGGGGGGAGGGAGAGGTGTGGGCGAGCGCGCACGCACATAATGCATTCCCACAGCCAGGTGTGACTATAGGATTGTTTTCAGGGTGCTCAGTTTGGAATACTCTGGCAACAGACTCCATCTACGAGAGATTACTAAAAGCTACCCACAGAGCACCAGCTTCATTTGACAGAGGGGGAAAATGAGAAACACCGAACAAATATGAACTTTCTCAACACCGTGGGCATGTTGCTCTAGGGCTTGGCCCACAAAACCACTACAGGGCACAAACTCCTGACCAAGGCCTGCGGGGCTTCCTAGCCCGTAAGGCACACCCAACCTTACAAAGATAACTAGGCGGGAAGTCACCCACTTGCATTTCTGGCTTAATGAAACATTTTAAATAAGCCTCACGCCTTCCATCTTGTGAAAGAGAAATTATTCCATCCGTCTGCTGCTTCATTAAAGAATTATAAAGAAGAATCCCATATTCTTTATGACGATTACACACAGAGGTAAGATGGAATTCAATTTAAAGACATTACCTCTGTTTTTAAGTCATATTACCACAAATAATCAGGTCAGGAGCACCTGATATTTAGGAATGATATACTGATTTCCGGTGAATGGAGGCATTGCGAGGTCTCTACCAGGGCTGCCAGTATTTGGTATGTGGGGGAAAAGGAAAAACATGGCCACCCAAATATCACAAATATATGTCAAGCCACTAACACTATCTTAAATGTTTTTGTATTTTAAAAACACTGTACACCTAAGACTTCCTCAGAAGTCCACTGGGATGTGGTTGGCGTGTGATACCTACAGGAGAAATCGTGAGCATCTCCAATCATCCAGACCGTGAGGAGACTGCTGGGTGACTCAGTCCTCCACGGGGCACACCAGCACCTAAGAACAGGTACCCTTCAAAGCACGTTCACCTGAAGGGTCCTCACAGCGACTCTGCAAGGCCTGAGGAGCCACGCACTGACCACTGCCCTCACTTCAAAGAAGAAACTGAGGCTCAAGATTCAAGTGCCCATCGAGGCCCCTTGGCTGGAAGGTCGGCAAAACAAGGACCAAAGCCTGGCCCTCTGTCTGCTAATCCAGGCTTTTTGCACCACACTAGGTGGCTCAAAGTTTTAAACTCGACCATTTGGTGGAAACCCCAGTGGCCCAGTGGTTAAGTGCTACGGGTGCTAACCAGAAGGTTGGCAGTTCAAATCCACCATTTGGCAGCTTTAGAACGGTATGTCAAACTGTTCTCAAGACTCAAAGCTATTTTATGCTCTTAAAAACAACTGAATTAATGTTTTCAGAATACAGATTGTGCGGATCACTTGAAATTTAATCTGTGCTACTTCCAAAATAAGGAGAAATTTGTTAAAATCCCTAGAGATCTTACAAATTAACCCCTTTTCTAGATCTAAAGTGGTAAATAAAAAGAAATCGAAGTAGTCAAACATGAAAAAAGATTAATTCCTTTTGATGTCCTTTCTACAGAATTTTTAGGGAACGTCTAAGAACTGGCAAACGGGGATAGCAACGCTGAGGCTTCATCTAGTCGGAACTTCAGGGGAACTCTGGGAAGAATTCGGCATTCTTGGCAGCTACCTGAAAAGCGTCAAGTATGAGAATGTAGCTGTTTCAAAAATGTAAATGTTCCTAAGGCTGCACTCAAAATCTCCACGGGATAAATGGCCTCTGAGGCAGGGACATATGGCTTTCCTCCACAGCATCCAGCAGCGGAGGGTCCTGGGATAACTCAACCTTTCCTCCGTGCTTCCTCCGGAGGGTATTTTCCACCTCAGTTCCAGAAGCAAAACCCAGTCAGCAGCCCCCTCCCCTGAAAAGCCTAAGTCTCCACACAGACAAGGCAGACCCCAAGCATAAGCTCTTGGTACATGTATGTGGAAGAGGAAGAAGGGGAATAAAGGAACTGCTGGATTCTGGAAAGCATGCTGGAAGATAAACAAGTCGATTGATTTCAGTGCAGTCCACTGCAAACTCCTGATAAAGTGGAGACTCTCCCCACTCCCAAACCAGATTTTTGACAATGTCACGTGTTGTGGTCCTCGTGTCATGGCCTGGTTTTGCACTGCCTCCACAACTGAAGTGCCTTTAAGGATAAGCCAGACCTGTCCCTCGCAGACGTGGTGCGGAGATTTCCACTACCTGCCGGTCACTGCACGCACCTGAATTAGGAATGAGTAACGTCAACCAGCCAAGCTGGCTTTTCTGCTGTCCTAAAGGATACCACGTGACAGCAGATACAGCCCCAAGGTGTGACCTCTATCAAGGGTTTTCTCCACAGAACACAAAAAATGGAGACCAGGACAAAAGAGGAAAAAAAAAAAAAAAAGGCAAAATGATCCATTTGGTAATTTAGAATCTTTTTTTTAAGTAGGTTAAGTTCATAGTATTTTTAAATTAATGTGGAAAATAAAATATGATTCAGTAAATAAAAATACATAAAAGTTGTCTTTCTAGTGTCATATTTTCCAATTAAGGGCGGATAAGAGAACAAACGGAGAGAAGAAAGTAGGTGCAGGCAAGGGAGACCAAGAAAAGGGCGACAGGCAGCGACGGGACAGGGAGGGCAGATGACGACAGGCAGTGCGGCCACTGGAGAGCTGAGGGGAGCTGCAGGGGAGCGGGGCCGAGACAAGGGGCGGGAAGGACAGAGAGGCATTCGGGCACGGTGGGCTCAAGTTAAGCAGGAGACCCCGACTCCTTTTCTTTAGAGGGCATTTTGGCAATTACCCAGTAAGATTTAAAACGGGATGCCTGTTTACCATACATATTTTTACATAAATTACTGAACCTATTTTCTGCCCCTTTATCTAAGGAAGTGTTCTTCCTATCAGTTTGTATGTGCTAACGTCATAATAAAAAAAAAATGACAAAAAGAAATAGAATTGAACTGGGTAAGCACTTCTAGCACCCAGACTTGGAAAGCTCATCAACTGCCTGGTACTGACTCACAGATTAACAACCTCTCTCCAACCTTCCTGTCAAGGAACTGGGGTGATTTTTTAATTGAGGTAAAATTTACATAAAATAACATGCACAGTTCTTAAGGGTGCGGCTCCAGCACTTTAAATAATTACATACACCAGTGTAACCGCAGCCCAAAGCGAGACACAGAACATCTCCATCACCAATCTCCTCTCCCCTCTGCCAGTGACTGGCTCCAATCAGCACAGACTCCTCTCCTGCCGTCCCAGCCATCTCTGGCTGCAAAGATGGTGACCCGAGGGATATTATCTTGGAGGCTGGTCTAGATGACATCAAGTTATGGGGTAGTGATCACTCAGCCTTATGTACAGAAGACAGGGGAAAGGTCTCCAGATTTACCTGTGATATTTTATAAATGCTAATGTGTAGCTAATATCTTAGACAATAATCAGAGTTTTAAAAAGATGAAAAAAGTCCCCACCCACCCGTCAGGTATACACAGAACACTAAAAACTGTTTGTAACCAATTACTTTTTCCCAGGATTTTCTTTCTCACTAAAAATGCACTCACCTGGCTGTTTGGATCGCCGAGTAGGTTACATATATGTGGCACGATCTTGCTTAGTGTTAAAGTATGAGCTCCAGAGCTGAAAACAAAAGTTTACTATTAGTGAGAACAAAGGAAAGAAGACACCTTTCTGCCCGCACTCTTCCCCTCTCCTCGCCATCCCTAGTCCTCACCCCACCTCCCACCAAGGTTCTCTCCTTCCAATCTATGCTGTTTCCAGAAGAAACACACCATGATGGGCTTCTGGCACACATCAAACTCGCCGGTTGAAAACCCTGAGTGCTTCTCACCGCCAAGTCTTCCTGGCATGTGAGGCTCTCTCCCATCATGCCCTAACCCTTCATGGCCTCTCCCCTGTACTTGCCCAACTCTGCATGACCATTTGGTAATGTAGCTATTATTCTTTTGCAGGCAAGTCTCTTCAGGGTTGTCACTGATGTCTCCATCTCTGTGCTAACATCACGCTCTACCAGAGGAGACTGATAAACAGCTGCTGGATGAAAAGGCTGTGCTACATGGCTGCGGGGCTTGCCAGGCTAATATGCCCTATGGTGGGACATATAAGCTATTTACGACTTTTCCCCATCATGAACACTGCTGCCAGGCACATCCTTCATGAACACAGAACTCCTGGCTCATCTGATTACTTCGTTGGGATAAATTCATGTAAGTAGAACTACTGTGATCAAAGAGTAGAAAGACTTTTTTTAAAGCTTCGTATAAACCAGGTGCCCTCAAGTCGATCCTGACTCATGATGACCCCGTGTGTGTCAGAGTACAGCTGTGCTCAATGGCTGATCTTTCAGAGACAGATCACCAGGCCTTTCTTCCAAGGTGCCTCGGGATGGACGCAAACCTCCAAGCTTTCAGTTAGCAGCGGAGCATGTTAACTCTCTGCACCACCCAGGCACTCCAAGCTTCACATACACATGACCAACTTTAATGGCACTGAAACACACTGACAACACACCAAGAGGGGAAATCTATAAAGTAATAAAGCACTTTGTTTTTTAAAATAATGTATATTTATAGTCTGGAATAAAATGCAACAAATATTAACAGTAATTATCTGAAGGTGATGGAATTATGGGTGATTTTTAATTTCTTCCTTATATAAATTTTTCCATGATACACATATTGCTTTCACAACTATAACTGATTTGCAATTGTGAATTTTAAAAAAGCCTCTCCTACCAGTAAATACGTGAAAAGCTGTTTAACATCAACAACCACTAGGGAAACACAAGTTACAACTACAATGACAGATCACTACACGCCGGTCGGAATGGCTCAGGTGAAAAACAAAGATAACACTGAATGCTGACGAAGAGACGGAGAAACCGCATCACTCATCCACTGCTGGCGGGAATGGAGAAGGGTACAGACATTCTGGAAAACAGTCTGGCAAGTTCTTGTAAAACTAAAAACTGAACTGCCACATCGTGCTCTTGGGCATCTACTCCAGAGAAATGAAAACTTACACTCGTGCAGGAACATGTCTATGCATATCCACGGCAGCTTTATTCGTAATAGCCAAAAACTGGAAACACCGAAATGTCTTTCAACAGGTGTGCGGTTAAACTGTGATACATCCACACCATGGAATACTACTCAGTAATAAAAATGAATGAACTATAATCACTGGTAACAACATATATGTAACCTCAAGGGAATTATGCTGAGTAAAAACAAAATCTGCATCTACAGCGTTCTTGAAATAACGAAATCAATGAGGGAGAACCGACAGCACGAGACAGCCTGGGGTGACGACACATGCCTGTATCTCAATTACGGCCGTAAATACACGGAGCTACATGTGTGATGAAACTGCACAGAACCACCCACGCGCACACACACGTGAGTGCATGTAAAACTGAAGACATCCAAATAAATCGCGGGTTACAGCAACGTCAATTTCCTGGCATTGCTATTATGCAAGATGTTAACACTGGGGTGGGTGAGGGGTGCGCAGGACTTCCGTGTACACTTCTTTGCAACTCCTGTAACTCTATAATCATCTCAAAATAAAAACAGAAGCTCTGACCCAGTGAAAATTCCCATTCAGCCCAGACTTACGCATTGAGTGTTGCAATAAGGCAGAGACAGATGCCCTCTCGCGTGCGGAAATTCTTGTGTTTGAAGCCTCCGAGCATTCTGTCCCACACGTACTGCAGAGGACAAAGGAGAGTTGAAAGAGACAAGATTTCTGCAGCCTTTCATGCAGTGAGGGACAGAGAACAGAGGGGCCTCTCTGCGGGTGCCAAAGGCGTCTCATCCTCTACCAACCCGGTTAACCCTCTGAACACCACACTGAAAAACGCTAGCTTATATATCAACTTATGAAAACATACTCACTTAGATAACTGCATATAATTCTCTCAATAACCCTGAAAGGGACCTATATCTGTCCCCATTTTACAGGTGAGGAAGGTGAGGCCAAAGGTTAGGTGACTTGCCAGAAGTCACATATCACATTGCTCCCTAGCCTAGATAAGCTTTCCCCACCCTGCCCACAAGTCTGTCTGGAAAGGCTTTTCCCACATCCTGCCTCACCCTGACCATGGACAGTGGGATCCTGGGGGGTTCCTTCACCTCAGGAGCCCCAGCTCACAAGCAGACACGGGCGAGGGCTCCAACCACGTCTCCTGACTCCTGGGACACCATGGGGCCTCTCTTCAGAGAAATGAAGAGACACTTGTATAAATTAGCAAAGATTCTAACAGATTAAACCAAGCACTCAATACCAATGTTAAGTCTACTAATTGTTTTTTTCCAAATTATACCCTTGGCTGTTAATTGCTTATTCAAATAATCCTATGTTATGAGGAGGGCAGATTGAATGCTATGGGGATTTTCACTTGTAGTACACCAGCTCAGAAGAAGCGAGTCTCGTTCACCCATGTGCACGCACGCACGTCCTACCTGAGGGTTAGCAGCTTGATCCATGATCTTCAGCAGCAACGCCTGGTCTTGCTCCCTCACAGAGTCTTTAGCATCTCCCAGTCTGTCAATTAAACTTGGCAGCACTGGAAATCAACATGCAAATTATTGCAAATAATTTATTACAAATTATTCTGAGGGGCTGTGTTCACTAACTGTTGATATTTCTATTAACTGGGAAGACAAAACCCTGGCCTACATGACGTATGTCATTGTAAATACCACCAATCCTCGCTCCCAGCTCCACCCACCCTGCTGAAATCCATGAGACTTAGGACTATCAAAACCTGAAAAAGGCTTTGCACAGACAAACAAACCATTTATTCTCTCCCTTACTCCACATCCTTTATCCCACAGCCAGGACCCAACATATCTTTAAGCTGGTAAAATATTATGAAAATGGATCCCAACTGAAGATCTTGGCAAAAAGATGCCATACAAAAGGAAATTTAGGTAGGTAGGAAGGAAGGGCTCTGCTTTTCTTTGCTTGGGGATTCTAGGGGCAGGCATTTGTGGATCAATGTACTGCTCATACATGTTGTCTATTTTTCAGTTTCCTGTCACACACAGACCTGCGTATCAGACATAGCCCAGCACTCTAGCCTTCTCACACACCCAGGTGTGGGCCAGGAGTCTAGGCTTAAGGGCACTTGTACATCAGAGGTCAGCTGACTCTGCTTCTTCTGAGAGCCTGCAAGCCTTTCTTTTACAAAAGATATCCCTGAGTAATTCAAGGAGGAAAACACCATTAAACTATCACACTTCTAAAACTAAGAGGTTTTTTTTTTTTGTTTTTTTTTTTTTGGGAGATACAGAGACAGTTACTCTATGCCAAAATGGAGAATGAGTTTATGACCTTATCTAAAGGAGCTCACTAATCAGAAAGTTAACAAAAAGAACAGAAGGACATACACGGAGATTGAGAAATTCTATAAGGAAATGCTTGCGCAAGCACAGCTATTCAGAGTTAACAGTGCCATCAAGAAACCTCAGGTGTCCAAATCATGAGATCCCAAATGGTGAAAGCATCTCCAAATCCATGAAACCTGTGGTTATTATTTTTATGTTATTTTGTGGACATTTTGTTTTCCCTTCAAAATAAGAGTGTGCATTTACAATACACTTGTAATGACATTTACAATAAAAATGAAAATAGTAATTCCAACAATAATCTTTGGGGGAGGGAGGCGGGAACTGCATAGGGTTTGCAAGATTTCTCAAGAAGTGCCTGTCAGTAAAGAGAAGAGTGAGGGGTAAATATGACTCAGTTGGCACTAAACAGTGACGGCTAATTTTGTACAAAAAATAAAAGATTAGCAATAATACTTCACATTAGACCACGTATTAATTAATACTCCAGGTTAGAACAAGGAAGTTGTGAGAAACCAGGCAGAAGGGTATGGGGAAGGAGGGGACACTTCAGCAGGTGCAGCAAGGCCAGTGGATCTGGGGTGCACCCAGGATGGAGGGAAAGCAGGGGTGCAACCCTGCTGGGGGCTGGAGGAGGAGGTTAGGGCCGGCTGAGGGGCGGAAGAAACTAGAGGGCAAGCCTGGAGAAGGAGGCTGGGGGCCGGAGGGGTTAGACGGCGCTGAGAGGAGAAGTGAAGGAGGTGAGGGCAGGCTGGAAGGAGTCTGGGGGCCGCTCCACACGTGCCCACAACTCACCTGTGCCGATCTGCGCCTTGAACCGATCCTGCAGCCGGGTCACTAGCGCAGACAGGATGTCCATGCCCAGAAGAACTACCTGCAACGGTAAACATCGGACTCCGGTTAGCTGCTAGCCCGGGGGCCAGCGCTCCCGCCCACCGACTGCAAGAAAGCCCCCGCGTTTCTGGCTTGGACACACTTTAGGAGCCTAGAGCGTGCGTGCTTAACTGAAGAAGACTGAACTAATTATCACAGGTAAGTACAGTTTACAGAAAACAGTCGGGGACGAGAAACGAAAATAAAAAGCAGCCGCAAAGCAGCCGGAACCCCAGAACGCCCGCCGCCTGGCACGGCTGCCCGCGCCATGGCCCCACCCCTAGCCGAGCCCGCCCCAGCGAGGGGCCGCGCATGCAAATTACCTCGCGGGCGCGGGGCCTTCTGGGTAAAACCCAGTGGCCCCGCAGACGCCTCTGAAAACAAGAAGTTGGTAGTCTGCGCGGGCAGCTGTACTCACTGGAGGTATGCCAGCTACCAGGTAACCACAGCGGACCCATGAATTAGTCACCACAACCCTACCCGGTATTTGCGCTTCCTGGTTGCAGCGCTACCGCGCGCACCCGCAACCATCCTTTTCTTGGGGTTGCGCTACTGTCCAATGAACGTGTAGTGAGGACAGTACTGCTAACACCTGTACAACACACTCGCATCAAATAAAGTTTTGCTTTATTTTGGTGCAATTTTTGGAAACAAGGGAAAAAAAAAACGCTTTTCCTCGCCTTGTAAATTCAAAAATAGTTATTTCAAAATTAAAAATTTACTACATTTACGGTAGGTGGCGCTCACAACCCTGACAATGTTTGCTCTTTAATCATTCTCAATTTAAATATTGCTCCTTCTAAAAACACCATGAAGGCTAGTCCGTGGTTGGAAACACCAGATGCTCAATGGGAGAATAAACATTATCCCACGAAGACGCCTAGGAAACTGTCGGGCAGTTCCACTCTGTCTGTGGAACCCAGGGTACACGAAAAGTTGTTCGACCTCATTTAGGGAATCTTTCAAGTCTGTATTTGTGCTCCACTGCTCCACTGGCCGAATAAAGTTTTGGAGTCTGCAAATACGTTTCACAGTCTGCCTTTACAGTTCTAATTTCAGCATCCAGTATCAAACCCGTTGCCATCAAGTTGATTCTGATTCATGACGACGCCTTTCAACGTAAGACTTCAATATTCTGCAGTAGCCATCATTAAAATGAAAAGCTCTAAAACCTTCCTCAGTAAGAATCAGTTTTGCAGTATGCAACTTTGTTAAACACAGTTCAAACACAGACCAGGACACAGTCCAATATTCATACAAAACGACAAACAAACACGACTGATGAGGTCCTACCCATCAGCCAGTGGTAGGAGTCCTCGGATACTGCCTGTCTCTGCATTCTGCAGCTAGTAAAAGCAAAAACTGCAGGCTTTTCTACTTAGCTTTGAAATCCACTACTTCAAAACTGAAGAAATCAAAATTTGCACAATATTCAGCACAATGCATAAGCTGTTCTTGCAACGGATTAGCTAATTGAAGATATTAACAAAAATAATTTTTAGACTTTTTATTTTTAGAAAGAGAAGAGAACACTGATTTGTGGACCAAGCACAGACTTTTTGGAAAAATCTGTAATGGGGAAAAAAACTTTAACGACTTTACTTTTGAACTAGAGGATTTTATCACTTAAGAAACCAGCCCATCCGTGCACACTAACTTCAAGCTTCCCAGGAGAACAGTATGGGGACGGGGGTAACTGGACAGTGGAGAAACCTCCCAACAGTCTTTCATCAGGCTGACAGTATGTACCTGGGTATGCTGTGAGAAAAAGGCACTGCACCTCTGGGATCTTTCTCCCAAAAAAATCACAACCCCGTCTACTCATGAGAAAAATAGCAAGCAAGTCTCATTTGAGGGGCTTTCTATAAAATACCTGATCAGTGCTCCTCCCAACTGTCAGGGTCATCAAAAACAAAGAAAGTCTGAGAAACTGTCAGTCAACAGCCCAGGGAGACATGACCACTAAATGCGATGTATCCTGGGTAAGATCTGGGCACAGAAAAAGGACATTAGAAAAAATGATAAAAATTAAGATACTCTGAATAAAGTATGGACTTCAGTTAATAATAATGTATCAATATTGGTTCATTAATTGTAACAGCTATACCATACTAATGTAAGTGTTAATAACAGGAAACTCGGTATGGGGTATTTGGGAACTCCTTTTTGCAATTTTTCTGTAATTCTCAAACTGTTCTAAAAAATAAAGTTTATTTGGTTAAAAAAGCAGCCTATCAGTTATTTACAATTAGCTTTTCTCTAATGAAATCCTAAGCATCTGACCTCTGCATTAAAGTCTGGAGGAAGGGGGTTACTCGTTACAATAGTATTAATAACACTAATAAAACAGCCTGACACGACCTTGCCTTCAGTTCCTGCCACACCTCTTCATCAGTCATTCCTGGCTAATGTGCACCTACGAGGACTATTGTGTTTGCAGGTATGACAGCCCACGTCATTAACCTATCTGTGGAATCTGCAGGGCACAGGCTTCAGGCTTTTACAGGATGGGGGTTTACTTTAGGTCTGACTACAGCAGGTCTAACTACGTCCTAAACAGTAAAGTTTGAAAAGATCTTGCCTAGACTTGACTGGAGGTGCAGCTAGACCCCGGAGAAACTCAGAAGGAGAGACCACGGCGGCCAGCAGGAGAGGAGAGCGCGCAATCCCAGGCACCTTCCCAGGGGATTGAACGCCTGGACTCAGGAAGGAAACAGGAGTCCCACGCAGTTGTCTATTCACCCTCCTCACAACCCCAGCGGCAAGGAGGAGGATCGTCAGCTGCCAATGCTTATCTTCACAACTCAGGCCTTTTTCCTGTGCTTCCAGCTCCCTACTGAAGTAGGGGATTAATGAATAAAGTCACTGTCCAGAAGACAAGCCAACTGTATAACTGTAAAACTTCTCTGTGCCTCCTTCCTCATCTATAAAATGGGAACAATAATAACAGCTACCTCATAAATTGCTGTGAGGGCAAAATAAAGTATGCCCGTGAAGTGTATGAAACAGTGCCTGGCGCACGGTAGGGCAAGACTACATGCCTGCTGGCCATCCTCACCAGATGGTGTGACTGCCAGGAGCATCCACCTGGGCAGTCAGTGCTCCGCTGCGGGCCTGGACGAGTCCTGAGGAAACAGGAGTGGGCTGGCAGAGAAGGCCCCCAGCAAAGGATCACACTGACCGAGGCTAAACCCAGAAGAAAAAGACTCCCACCGAAGGAAGAGAAGACCTCCAGGCAGAGGGAAGGGTGTGTGCAAATGTGAGAGCAGGTGACCAGCTCCTCGGGGTTTGAGAGAGCTGGGCAGGGGGTGGCTGGGAAGTCGCTGACAAGGCGGCTCCAGGAGGGGCGGAAACAGTGGGGGAGCCACCGCAGGGCTGTAAAGGGGAGGGCCCAGGGCGCTGAAGCTTCCAGACAGGGCACCACGGCTGCCATGGAGAAGACAGCCTGGGACAGCAAAGGGCAGGCCGGGGGCAGGCTCGCCACCAGCACCGACTGCCTTTGGGTCTCACTAAGCTGGTGACTCTGCAGGACTCCTGAGCACCTTTTACATTTTACATTAAACATTTTATTTAACTTTCCCTGTGTATGCTTGTTTCCTCGGCTAAACCCCTTGAATGTAAAGATTATGTCTTTCATTCCCTCAAAATTCCCATCAGATATAGCACAATACTGGGCATATCATAATCCATAATATGGTGATCAATAAGTCTCCATTTTATTGACTACTAATGAATGAGGCTAGAACAGATGAGTTCTCAAAGTCCAACATAGTTCTTTTATCCTAAAATTGTTTTAAATGCTTTTAAATGAGATGCTGATAGCTAACTAGGCAATTTAGACCAGTCTTCCTGCTGAGAACAGCTAAAAAGGCCGGGTATAATAAAACAATCTTATCTAAATATAATGTACAAGAACATCTGCTTGAAAGCATCGGATTGCCAAGGAGGCACGGAAAACAATGACCGGGTTAAGAAACGTAGAAAGAGAAGCCTGCAGCGATTGGCCCGCTTGTACGCTGGAAACGGAGAAGCCAGACACTGAGAATCACTGATAGCCCTTGGGGAGAAGGGGACAAAGCTGGAATCCCAAGCCCTCCAAGGTAAGCTTGGTTGCCCAGCTAATCCCAACATTTTAGGCTAGAAACCCAGAGGGCTCTACTTAGGAAGGGAGTGAATTTGAAAGGAAACAGCCCTCACATGGACCGCAGCCCAGTTTACAGGCATCTGTGTGGCCCAGAAAAACTCTAGTTTTCTGACAGTAGAAAGGTAATCCTAAACTGCTACTGCCCTAAAGCCCCTGGCAGATAAAAGCACAAACCACTTCTGGACAGGGTCCTAGTTTAGTCATCAATTTACTTCTGTAAATAATGTTCCAAAGACAAGGTCAGAAACAACCAGAACCAACCAGGTGACACAGGACAACCCGAACGGAAACTAAGAAACGAACCACACCTGGATTCTGAATACGAGAATGGTCAAAATAGGATCTGACAGCTCTTACTACGACAGAAGAAAAAAGACAGGATCAAAAGTTTTGGAAGAGAAATGACAGTTTTTGAAAACTAACAGATTTTCAGAAGAGCCAAATAGGAACTAACATTAAGTACTCAATGGATGTGTTTAGAAGCAAAGGAGACATAGATGCAGAGAAAATTAAACATCCAGAATGAAGTACAGAGAGGCAGAATGATGGAAAATTCAAAAGAATGAGTAAGAGGCAAAGACAGAGTATGAAGATCTAACATAAATTTAGATAAAGTTCAAAGAGGAAAGGTCAGAGACAATAATCAAAAAGCAACGGCTGATGGTATACGGTTTCTTACTGAGGTGATAAAATGTTCTGGAATTAGATAGTGGTGATGGTTGCATGATTCTGTGAATATACTAAAAACCACAGAATTGCACACTTTATAAAGAAAAAAAAGCTGAAGAGACAATGGCTAAAAATTTTTGAAACTGAAGAAAGACATCAAGTCACAGATTCAAGAAGCCCAATGAATCACAAGGAAACTAAATGAGCAGAAATCCCCACCTAGATATATTAGACACATCTTTGAAAATATAAAGAATCATCATCACCAAAGAGAAGGAAAAATATCTGTGAAGTGATGAAAATAACCAACAACCTAGAATTCTATGACCTGAAAAATGTATCTTTCTAGAATAAAGGTGAAATAATTTTCACATAAACAAAAACAGAGATAATTAGTCACCTGCAGACCCACACTAGAACAGTTCCAAGTGGAAGCCAGAAAATGTACAAAGGAACGAAGAGTAATTAAAGGTAATTAGTCATTAAATCTAATAAATATTGACCATATAATAGAAATAATGTTTCTTGTAGAATTTAAAATACAGAGAAAAATAAAATAAGTGACAATAATCTATATAAACAAAATGAAGACCTGACACACGCCACAACATGGATGTGCCCAGGAGACATGCTGAGGGAAATAAGTCACGAAAGGGCAGATCCTACACGATCTCACTTATATGAAATAAATATATAAACCAAAAAAACCTAAACCTGTTGTTGTTGAGTCAATTCCGACTCATAGCGACCCCACAGGACAGAGGAGACCTGCTCCACAGGGCTTCCAAGGCTGTAATCTTTACGGAAGCAGGCTGCCACATCCTCCTCCCGCAGAGAGG